CTTCTAGGCAGTAATCCATTATATATTAAAGGTTATTATATGATTTAATACTATAATAGATTAAGAAATAAGAGATCTCTTTAGAATCTGACTTTGAAAAATTAGATATAAGTATTAATTTTGATAAGATTGATATATAATATTTTATTTATATATTTTTAGTATTTTTTTGTAATTTTTAATAAAACTTTTTGATAAGACTTTATTAAAATATCAATTTTTGGTAAAATTTTGACTATATTATTTTCATATTAAAATACTTTACAAATACTTCTAGTATATTATATTTTTTAGTATATTAGAAATAGATATAAGATCTTTTAACTTTATTATTAATATAAATAAAAGACACAAAGTGTCTTATTAAAAATAAGACAAGTTAATTTTTAATAAGATACTTTGTATCCTTTATTTATGCTAATAAATTATTTTTGAATTAATTTTAGAATATCATAAAAATTAATATATAAAGTGGATTTATAAAAATTTCATAAATTTAGCTTTGAATTTTATTAATCTTACATTATACTAAGTTTAATCAAAATAGTATATTTTTTTATATTTTAATTGAATTTTAAATTAAACTAAAAATGCTAAAAAAGACAATGTATTTCTTAATATCTAGTGGGTTAATTTTATGCTAAATTAGATACCAAAATATTAAATAATAGAAAAGTGATTTAAATTGATTTTAAGTTTGAATTTTATATTAATTTTATATAGTTAAAAAGCTTTAAAAATAATGATTAGAAGGTTTTCTGAATATTTTGTCTTAGAAATCCCATTTTGATGCTACTATAATATTATTATATTAATTAATTTTTACATAGAAAGTAATTTAAAATATCAAATTTTTGTATATTTTCTAAATAAAAGTATTCAAAATAATTAAACCTTCTTTTTTTATCATACATATACTATTATGTTTAAATTTTATTAGATTCTTTAATAATATAAGAAATCTTTATTATTTCTATTTTAAAATGATTAAATTTATATTTGTGTAATTTTTTTTATAAAAAATTAAATTAAAATTTTTTTGTAACTATATTATATACTATTAGCAGAGTAATTGACCAATAATAATGAAGTTATGTGAATAATGCAGTATAACGATCTTTTAATCTAAGATTTGAAAATATTAAAAATTCTACGAATTCTGAAAATACTGAGAATTTACATAATTCTGCAAATCTTCTAAATATTAATGATAATTCTAATTTCATGAGTTAAATGAAATATTGATATTATACTTATTCTTAATATTTTACTTTTTATTATTATTTTTATTATATTATATGTTTTATTATTTTACATATTTTTATTATTTTTAGTATATTTAATTTACTTATACAGTCAACTCTCTATAAATGCATCCCTTTGGGACTAACATAAATGTGTATTTATAGAGGGTGTGTATTTATAAAAAAAATGTGTATTATTAAAGAATTTATATTATTTATATTAAAATAAATAAACAAAAAATAAATAAGTTCAAAAATACTATTTTATTATATGTATTTTAATAAAGTAATTATTAATTAAAATACTGATCTATGGTAGTTTACTGCATCATATTTATCTTTTTTTTTTTAATAAATTTTTCAATTGTATTTACCAATTTCATACATTCATTCACATCATCTTGTTGAAGAAGAAATGTATAAACATTTTTTAAACCTTTTAATGCTACATTAATATTATAACTGGAACTTTAAAACTTTTATCCATTTTATTTAAATCATTGGTATTTTCTTCATTAGACCTTTTAAAAATTTATTTACAAAATCTGCTATAACTTATTCATCTTCAAGAATTTTAAAAACAACATCTTCTTCAGAAATGGTAAGGAATTCTTCTACTTTCATTGCATTAGAAAGGTGAAGAACTTTAAGTATATTATGAAGTTCTTCAAGTATCAAATCATCAGTTTTATCATTTAATTTAATATTAGAATTAGAAGGAAGAATTTTGGTATGGTGTCAATAATTTTGAATTATTTCAGTTATTACTTCATTCCAATCTTGAATGATGTATTGAATTTCTTGTAAAATATCTATTTTTAGATCTTGTATATTATAACCTGCCTCAACTTATTCTAATATCTAACTAAAAAAAAAAAAAAAATAATATTAATAAAATACTTAATAAATTCTCTAATAAAAAATGTTTTCTTTAATAAAATTTAACAATTCAATTAAAAATAAAATTATCAAATATGATAATGATAATAATGTCTTTTAAAAGACATAATAATTTCAGCATCTATTAGTTGAATTTTAGAGGTTATATTAGAAGGTAAAAAGTGAATTTCAACATGTGAAAGAGTTAAATCTTGTAATTTGTGACTTGGACAATTATCAAGTAATAACAATATGCATTGGCTATTATGTTTATAAGAAACTTGACAATTAAATTCTTGTAACCATTTTTGAAATAAAGTTGTAACATCTAAACTTTTGGATTACTTCGATATATCATTTTGAGATTAGAAATATTAATATTTTTAAAACATTGTGAATTGGTAAACTTTTCAATTATTAAAGAAAATAGTTTATGTGACTCATTAGCATTTGTACATAAAGTAATAGAAAAATGTTTTTTATTTTTTTTCATTCAAAAAGACGTTTTATGGCTAAAGTTTTATCTGATTCTAATCTATATAAAATAAAATATAAATTAATATTATAAACTACTATTTTAAATTATAAAAATTTATAATAATATATACCGATAAAAAAATCTGGTTTTATCCATATTATAAATTCATTCAGGAGGATAATTGGTGCATTTATTTTATAACAATGGTAATGCTTTAGCAATATTATCTTGATTAACAGATACTGCTTTTCCATAAAATTTTTCTTTATGGATTCTATTTTGTTTTTTGAATTCTTGAAGCTAATCAAAAGAGAATTTCAAAGCTTCTTCTGGAATTTCCAACCCTTTTGCTAATAATTTAGCTTTTCAGTCAAAATTGCATTACTAAATATTACTTGATACTGATAATTTAAAACAAACTCCTTTAAAACAAATTCAAGTTCAGGAAAGGTAACAGATTTATTTCATTTTTATTTTAAATAGATAACTTCTATAATAAGTCATTTATTTGAGTTCTGTAAAATTCGTGTTATTGTAAACTTATTAATTCTAACCCTCATTTTTTTTAATCCAGTTAATATATTAAGTTCAGGTTAACTTATGCTTATTAGCATATAGGCAAAGCTCATATTTTTGAGAGCCTAAAAGGGTTATTTTTTTTTGTAGAAGATGCTATATTAAAAAAAATAAAAGATCACTACAAAAACATATACAGTATAATTTTAAGACAAAAGACGCGATAAATTGATAAATAATTTTATGGTATTAATTTAAATAAAAAAAGAAATAGCATCATGAAACAAAAAAAGGGTGGTAGACAAAAAAGGCAGCATTTTTTTAAATTTTTCAAAATTAAACTATAAAATTGAAATTGCTAAAAAAAGTTAAAAGTTAAGAGTTGAAAGTGAGGTTGAGAGTTAGAAGTTAGAAGTTAGAAGTTAAAATTGTGAAAATTAGAATTGTAAATTGGAAGTTGAAAATTAAAAGTTATTGAAATAGAGTTAGAATAGAGTTAGAGTGGAGTTAGAGTTAGAAGTTATTGCTAAAAGTTGTTGGAATTGAAGTTAAAATTTGTTTGAAAGTTTGGAGTTAGAAGTTGGAGTTGGAAGTTGTTAGAGCTGGAAATTGTTGAAGTTGGAAATTATTGAAATTTTAAAATTTTGAGAATTACGAAGATAATGATAGAACTCTGATAAGAAATTACTAAATACCTTTCAGATTAATCAGAGAAAATGAAGGCTAAAAAAGGAAAGTATACTAGGTAAGTATACTTCTTTTAAATATTTTATTTTAATATTTGAAATGAATTTACTTACTACTGGTAACTGTTGATTTTTTTATTATGATTATTTTATGAAAATACTACACTAAAAGATGTGCAATGATAAAATGTTACAGTAAAAGTTATGTGATTATAATACGCATAGTCACATGAATGCATTTAAGGAGATACTTGCTTATATAGTTCAGACTAAAAATTATTGCACAGTGCAAATAGGAAGGGTATACACTTAGTATTAAGACCTGAACTTGAGACTAGGTTAGAGGGTGCATTTGTACAGGGTATGCATTTATAGAGAGTGCATTTATAGAAAGTTGACTGTATTTTATTTGTCAAATTAGTTAGTTTATAGTATAGTAATTAGTTAGTTGTGATAAAAGAAATTTTGTATAAATAAATATATTTTTTACTCATATTATAAATTAACTCTTTTGCAAATTTCAAAACTCTCTTGTAAATATGAGTTTTAATATTAATAAAAGAATCAATCAAAACTTATATTTTTCTACCTCTTTATATTTTCATATAAACAACATAATCCCTATATATTATTTATAATTGAATTTACCATTTAAAATTCTTTAATTAAATTTGTTTATATTATCATTTTTCAAGTCTTTATACTTGACAAATTTATTAAAGTTTAACCTATAAATTTGATAAAGTTAAGAGTTAGACAAATTCTAACATTTTAACTGCAATTAATAATTTTAAATAAATATTTAAGAATGTAATCTAACTGTGTTAAAAATTTTCATAGTAATAATACAAAATTAATTAGTTTATATATAATTTTTTAAACATATCATAATTTTTTAATAATATTTTTATTATTATTACATCTTTTAAAAATTTGAATACAATAAAATTTTCTGCTTACTCTTTACCAGTGTATAAAATTTAGACCAAAAGTCATGTGCACAAGTTATATTAAAAATAAAAAATTAATACATGTATTACATAGTATTTCCATTTTTATAAATAATTTATCCATTTTTATATATAATTTATCTATTTTTAGTAATTATTTGTGCACATTTTATGCTGTATAATATGTACACACAAAATTTAATGTGTACATATGCACATTGTGTACATAAATTTTACACACTGCTCTTTACTAATTTTAATTATTAAAATATACTCTAATTTTAGATATAAAATCATAATTCTTCAAAGATCAAATTATGTAAAATAATGCAATTTGTAATAACTTATAATATAGTAGTTAAATAAACTATAATATAATAATTTATAATATATAAATATTCAATTTAAAAAATTTATTAATCCTTTTTTTCTTATTTATATTTAAAAAAATTAACAAAAATCAGATAAAAATAATCATATCTACTATTCTTTAAGATTCCATTTTTTCATAATTTTTTACTAAATTTATAATCTATTTGAAAATTTTTAATAATAGTTTTTCTTATATATATTTATATTTATAAGTATAAATATTATAAATGAATATAATTGAAAAATTTTAAGGAGTTTATATATTAATAATAGGTTTCATTAACAATAAATGAAGAGAATTGATGATTTTAAACTATATCCTATAAATTATTTGATATATATAATAAATATTTGAATAATTAGATTAATTAAAATTTATATTTCTTATTTAAGCTTATTGTAAATTTAATAAATAATATGAAACACATATAATTATTTATAACTTAGGTAAAAAAAAATTTAAAAAATCTGATCATGATTAAGTATAATAAATCATAAGATTAATCCATTTTCATAAATCAGCTTACTTTTTTTCTTGGGGTAAAATTTCACTCGGATAGACTAGCTGGCAATGGCTAAACCGAAAAATAATTGGCGTAAGCAAATCTTGTGACGATGTAATATGTATGGCTAATTACTCGTGAAACAAAGTAAGGTTAAGGTTAAATTATGCATTACATAATTATAATGAAATTTAAGCCACAATTTATTTCTCATTGACATTACATTTGATGATGTAATAACATATGGTATTTACATATGGTATTACATATGGGTTGATTGTTAGGAAAATCAGGTTCCGGGAATTTTTTAGCGAAATTGAGATTTTTATTGCATTTTAGTTTTTGATGTTATTAGATTAAAATGTATTAAGCTCTTAATTTTAGTCATAAATTTCTTGGAACCTGATTTTCCTAGAAACACTCCCATATGGTAATTAAATAATATAACCGATTTTTTAAAAAAATTTATTTATTTTTTTTTTTTAACGAAAAGGAACTATGCACTCGCTTCAGACAGAATCACATTGACAAACTTCAATATCGTAACAGTAAATTATTTAACTTGAAACGTTTGAATTCTTTTATTGAATTAAAAAATAAAAAATATCAATAGGAAAATATCAAATTTAAAGAATAAAAAAAAATTTGGAAAAAAGGGCAAAAATAATCATGAATTTAAACAAAGACCATCCCCAAATCATTTCTTGCCGCATGTACATGCGGATGGTGCACATTTACAATCGGAACAAGTACACGCTCTAAAAAAAGAATAGGAAATAAATAAATTTAATAGATTCAAAAAAAAAAAATTTGAAAGATTCTCTGATACATACTCATTACCGCATGCTTTGGGTTCGCCAGAATTTTGACGATGTTCAGTTTCTTTGATTCCTGGTTTAGTTGAAGTGGTATGTTCTTTACTTTGTTTGCCACAAGTACAAATTCCTTCACATTTACAATTCTCTCCACATACGCAAATTTGTTCTTTTGAAGACATTTTTTTTGATAATTTTTTTAGATAATTTTTTTTTTTGTTTAAAAAGTGGATCAGAAATTGACCTTATTTATAAAGAAGAATTGACCCTGTGATGGGAAAATTTCAATTTTGAGAATAATGTGCCATTGGCTGAAAACGCGATTTTAAACAAATCTTTTTTTGCAATTTTAACGCCTCCATACCAGTTTAGTAATTTCTTGAATTGGTTAAAAGTCATATTGACGCCCTACCCTAAAAAGACTGCGTGTTTGAAATAAAAGCATCGCACCGTAATTTCCAAACCATTTTTATCATAAATGACGATTGATTGAGCATTGTAATTTTATCTAATTCTATACAAGAAAACTTAAAATCATAATTATATCACTGAAAAAATAACAAATCACCAAAAACTGATTACTACAAGGAAAGTTACATTATAATAATAGATAGTACTGACGTCAAAGAGCTTATACTACAAACGCTACTTTGATTTTTGATCTGCATCCGTAAAATTTCTTTCGGCAGTACCTATTAATGCCGCACAAGTCATTATAATTCCTAATGGAAAAAAAGTTTGATATCATTACGAATTACTTTCGCACGATTATACGAAGTTAACATTCTTTAAAATAAAATAGATTGATTTTTTAAATTTTGAATGGTGGCTACTATTAACGATTAATTTTTTTGTCAACGTTGTGTAACTTATCTCATCTCTTTTTCTACTATTTTCATATGATGACATTATCGTATTGACAGAAATGAAATTTGAGCATGTGCGGCAAAAAAATTTTTTATCATTTATTTTTCATTGAGTTTAGGTATTCTTTCATCATTAACACGCAGATTTGCTTAATAATTATTTATCAATCACCGGATAAATCCAATGTTACATAGATCAAGTAGTTTCTCTCATTAATAAAAGTTTTCTCGTTCAAAAGGGAACTTAGCTATGAAGTTGATGTAAATGTCATATTTTATATTTTATATATAATAAACTTCTGAAATTTAAAATTTTCTACATTTTCAAAACCAAAATTTTTTATGAGAAAGAATTATTCAAATAGCGTAAAAATTGTTTCTTTTTTTTTTTATATCTATTAAAACCGATCAAAAAAATGCTTTTAAAAAATAAATATATTATCGCAATATACTTTTCGTATTTAAGACATTTTTCGTGTTTACAGTTTAGTTCAAAGAGGTTCTTAGCCGCAAAGTTAGTACAAAAGTCACTCATAAATTTTCAAAATTCTGAAATGTCTTTTTGAAGAAATTGAGTGATAAATCAGAAGAACCAGCTACTTTTACTTTGGATAAGAAATATTTAATTAAAATAATTGATGAACTATATGCAGAAGATACTAATTCATTTAACATAATTATTGAAAAATGGAATCTAAAAATTTTAATCCGCTCCGCTGTATCATTATCAAGTGTTGGCAATTGGACCAATTGGACTTAGTAAAACTGCGCCACAATTTGAATTGGACGTATGAATTTTATATGTCCAATTGTCTAATTCATGCATGCAATTGAAATGATAAAATTACCAACACTGATCATTATTGATAAAATAGATGGGTATATTAAAAGATGTGAAAATTCAAAGTTTCTAAACATTATGACAGATTTTGTGATATATTGCAGATAGATAGAAAAAGTATTGTTAAAGCAAATGGTGTATTAAAACAATTAGATGAAACAAAAAAATCTTTATGATTTAGATTTAAAAAAAAAAAAAAAAAATACAAACCAAAGTAAACTTCATCAAAAAAAATGTTTATTTTGTGAAAAACTTTTTATTTTTTTATATAAGATTTAAAATGTGAAATATTTATGGTATATAATTAAAAAAATATACAAATAGTTTATAATAGCCAATGTATTAAGTTATATGATTCTATATATAAACATCTTAATAAAATTTAAAAATTCCCTATATATATATAATTATTATAAATGTGAAAGAAGACATTTTCATATAAATCAAGAAAAAAAACAAAAATGTTAAAAAAACAAATTATAGTGAGAATATTAAAAAAATTTTCAATTATTTATGTAATAGTTTTTAAATATTATATATAGGATACAATGGAAGTTCTAGAATTAAAATCAAAATAATATTTAAAAAAAGGTTTTAATCTTTTTCTGATTTAATTTCTGTTATAGATCATAAGTATTAATTCAGATTTTAAATCAATCTAAGCTCCTTTCTCACTATCTAATATTTTGATATATTGCTTAGTTTGAAATTATCCTATAGAATATCAAGAAATACACTGTTTCTTTTAATATTTCTAGTTTGATTTTAACCCCAAATAATATATCAAAAAAATGTATACTATACTGCTTACTGCTAGGAGTAATCTTAAATATTAAGGAATAAAATAATGAAATATTTAAAACTATAACTCTTACAATCCTAAAATATATACCTTTATTTTGTGATATTCTAAAATTAATTCTAAATGTAATTTATAGAACTCTAAATTAAGTTAAATCAACCTGTTTACCTAACCTAACCTAAAAATTCAAGTCAGATCAATAGATTTTTAGGTTAATATTAGGTCAGATCAATAGATCAACCTAACTTGACCTGATTTGATAAAATTTAAATTAATCAATCATTTTTCTTAAATGTTTTATTATCGTTAAATTAAATATAACAGCATTGATTAAATAAATTAATAATTGTTTATTATATTATTATTTATATTAAATATTTTTTAATATTATTTAACGAGTAAATAAAAAAAATTTTTTTTTGAATTAGATTAGGTCAGGTCAAATAAATCTGATCTGACAGGTCAACTAATTAAATTATATATTACCAATACATTAAAATTTATTGTTTAAATAAAAAATATAAAAAAATTAAAATAAATAAAATAATTATGATATTTTTAAATAATCAGTTATAATGTAAATAAATCATAAAATAAATAAGTAGGAGGGAGAGAGAATAAAGTATTTTTTTACACATATTTTATGAAATTTAAAGTGAACTTTACTCTTAAATAAAGTTTTTAAATTTATCATTAATTATTATAATTAAAATATATATTTAAAAGAATAAAATTTTGTATGAAAAACTGTAATTGTAATATTTAATTATTATATTAATTACTGTTTTATAAAATCTTAAAAATATAATAAAAAATCAATAAAAAAAAATTTTTTTAAATTTATTTAAAAAAAATTAATTATAATAAAATACATTTATATTGATATAGTATTTAATAAATTACACAAATAAATATTCAAAAAAATAAAAACAAATTGAGAATTAATATAGTTACAAAAAGTTATTACTTAATATATATTAAACTAACAGAGATAAAAATTTATATTTAAATAGTTACAAAAATATAGAAAATATTTACTTAATGCATAATAATCAGTTTATTTTAACTAAAGTAATCAAATTAATTTGTGAAGTTAAAAAAGTATAATTCATTTAGTAAAGTTACAAAAAAAATATTTCTACATAAATATTAATCCAATCAATATAAAAAATTAGATATAAATAATATTGAATCTGCTAAACAACTTTTACTTAGAAATAAAAGGTAATTAACTTTAACTAAAATGCTTAAATTATCCTGTGAAGTTAAAAAAAAGTGGTATAATGTTAATAAAGTTACTAAAATACATATTACT